TTCAAAATTATTAATAAAAATTTCTATATATGAAAATTGAAACAAGAGAATATTAGGTTCACTTATTTTTTTTAGAAATTTGTAGATTGTTTTATTTTTCTACAGTTAATTTGATACATCTTTTTTAAAAGTTAATTTTCAAAATTTTAAATTGACAAATAAATAATTAATATTTTTAAATTTTTAAAATTAAATTTTCATTTAAATAAACAATTACCATAAAAATATTAATTTGAATGCAACACGAATCTCCTCTAATTTAACTTATATAGACATCACAGGCGTGAAGTGCAAAATTACAACTATTTTTAATATATTAAGAGTGAATATTTAATTTAAATCGAACCAAATTTCATAAAATGTTTTCAGAAAAAATAGAAAATTTAAATAAAAAAAAAATCGAATAGAATCAAAATAGTTGAATGGAATGCTGACCCATTTATATTAGGACAGTAGACAGAGAAATAAATATTTTATGCGGTCCAGTATTTAAGGAATTCCCATGTGATAATAGAAACAGCCAATTATGTGTGGAAATGGCAGGTGATGAGGTGCCAGGTAAGACGCAATTGACTTATCAATGACATGCTGCTGTACGGTCTCATTTCATACACTTTTTTTTATTATTTTAATTATTATAATTATAATGAACAGAAAAAAATATTAAAAAAATAAAAATTGATAACTCAACTGGTTTATTAAAACAGTTACGCTGGTTTATCACTTGAGTGATCTACACGCGTATTTATTATATAGCTACTACCAAATATCTCTCAATAAAATTAAAAGAAAGTACAATAATTACGAGTATGTTGTCAATAGCTATAATCTCTACTGTTAAACAATTGAACCAGTATAAATGAATTATGATTTTCAAGCATTTTTTTTTTTCAGATCAAAATTATAAAATTTGAACTCATAACTGTGGAGAATATTTTATTTAAATCCCTCATAGCATAATATAAAATATATTTCGAAAATATAACAAAATATGTGTGGAAAATAAATATTAGCAAAATAGCAAGTTGCTATAAATAAATTATTTCATATTTTATGTTTATAAAAAATATATTTATTTTATTTCATTTCACATCTATGCTGTGCTTGGACCTTGCATATGGATGATAAAATAATTTGGTAAGCAGGAATATTAAATAAAATTAGTCGTAGTCTTACTAGTGGCAACACAATATTTAATTTAGGAAAGGAAAAAATGAAATAACTGTGCTTATTAATCATATAAATAATATTATTAAAAAAATTAAATTTTGTGCTTTAAATGTCGGTTTAGTTTAACTATTCGTATCAATTGATACTAATAATTGATAGCTAGTAATGCAGATCATTGTTAGCTAATAAATGTTGATATTTGATAAAATTTTGACAGCAGCTATGTTGAAATATAAAATATAAAATGACCATTAAAAATATAACTGTTTTTATAAATTATGATGTATAATATATGTATTTAAAAATATTTATAATAATATTTCATTTTTATTTTAATGTATTGTATACATAAAATATTAATTAAATTTTTAAAAATAATATTCAGTAGAAATTTATTATTCTTAAATAACTACAAATAAAATGCTAAACAAAAAAAATTAAAAAACAATAATTTTATTAGTAATTATTTTTATAAGGTTAATAAAGGTTAAATATAAATCAAGTATAAGTTAATAAAAAAAAATTTTAAACATAATTGATAGGATCAATAGTTGATCGAAATTTTGAGCATTAACTGCTACTACTAGTTGTTTATTGAAAAACTTACCAAATACCGTACAACTGTTGTTGAACCAATTACGTTTTCATATCAAAATATTTTTTTTAAGAAAAAATATTAATTTTATGGTTGCTATAATTGTAATGTTTTTTGCATTATAATATTTGAATCTTTTTCAATATTTAATTTTTCTCTCCTCCATTAAAATATTAAATCAAAATTGAAATATGATCCATGAAAATATTTAAAACAATACATTAAAAAAATATATAGTAAAACTCAAAATCCTTAACAATCCAGCTCATGAAACCAGCAAGTTGCATTAAACTAAAAAATATTTAAAATCTTAGATAAATTATTTTAATAATTAGGTAGGAATAATAGCAGCCACTCCCTTGTTTTTGTGGGACCAATATTATCACTAGATTAGGCATTAATTATTGGTGCAAAATTGCAAACGCACTGCTCTATGTCCAAACATCCATCGTGTTGCTTTTTCTTTTTCTTTTTTTTTTTTTTTTTTTTTTTTTTTTTAAATTATTGGTGCAAAAAATTGCAAACGCAGTGCTTCTATGTCCAAACATCCATCGTGGGATTGGCTTTTCTTCTTTCCTTTTTTTTTTTTTTTTTTTTATTTTGTTTTTTCCACTATTTGATGTAAAATTGAAACGACATCTATATTACGTATCTCAGACTTGGCACATAGTTCCGACGAGACTAAGAGGTAAAGAGTCATATTTCTGAATATCTATTATATATATATAATGTATAAGATGAGGAATTTACTCTTTGTAAAAAAATGCACTTAACTTCAATCGAACTTTAAAGAGTAATATATTGATTTATCTATTTGTTAATATCTTAATATACAGGTTTAAAAGATTTAAACAAAAAAATGTCTTTTACCTATCTGCTGTGTAAAGAATACGTATATTTTGAAGAGGAATAAGGTTCAAACAATATACATTGTTTTAAAATTATTTTTTTTTTTTATAATTATATCCTTTTAACTTGCCATTAAAAGAAAAAAAAAATGGCTTAGTTTTTAATTTTAATTTTAAGTATGAAGTAATGAAATATATTTTACTTAAACAAGAAAATAAAAAAGTATCATTATGTATAAAAATTATGGTCATTTTGATTTCAAACTAATCGAATATATTTAAATTTCAAAAAAATTATAGAGTTAGAAAAAAATATTTAGGATGTTATTCCTTGAGATCCTTGGTTTAATACATGATATATCTAGAAAAATATTTTAATATTTATTACTATTTATTATATTTATTTTTTCTTTTAATCATTATTATTATTTAGATTAACATATTTTAATTATTTTTTGGAATATGTAGTAACGATTAGTATTTCTCCGCCAATGTATGTATATAATAAATATATTTGATTTAGATTAAATATTTAATTATTTTTTAATTAGATTTTGATTTATAATTTATTTTATATATAAAAACTGAGCATTTTATATTTTTTCTGTAAGTTCCAGCGATAAATTGTCAAAAAAAAAAAAAAATCGAGCAAACTGTACATTGCCCCCAAAATCGGGGCAAAAATCGAGAATTATTTATATATTTAATCATTTCAACTTCATTTGAATCTTTTATACAAATTCATAAACGCTAATAAGAAAATGTGGACGAGAAAGTCATTATGATATAGTATTATATTTGTGTCGATTGTTTGCTCATAAATGAGGTTTAGTTAGAAGCAGACAACAAATGACATCAAACCCAATTAAAAAAATATTTAGATACTACTATAAAAAATTATCACAATTAAACATTGTGCTGAAATTGATAATTATTGAATATTCAACTTTTTTTTTTTTTTTTTTCTTTTTTTTTTTTTTTTTTGCACCCGGTTAAGAGGTCAATAGATATGAAATGATACAATGCTAACTCGAAACTCGACCTTCGCAAAACCTCACGACCAATTTTACCGATGCGGACTGTTAGTTCCTTTTCTTTTGAACTTTGCAGCCTCAAGTATTTATCTCTCATAAAATTTCTCAATAGAAGATAATTGCAAATTTGGTTTGATATCTCGTTACTCGTCGCTATACATCTAGTAAAAAACTTTTTTTTTTTTTTTTTTGACTCGTTAAGAGGTCAATAGATAGAAATGATACAATGTAATCGAAATCGATTGAACCTCACGACAATTTACAATCGGAGTTAGTTCCTTCTTGATTTGCTATATTTATAAAAATTTTTATAACGAAGATAATTCAAATTTGATATCTCTTACTCGTTACATCAGTAAAAAAAACCAATGCGTAGAAATCTAAATTTTCAATTTAATTTGAAATTAAAATTTTCGATTTAATTTCAACATAATTTTTTATCAAATTGAGTTTGGTTTGATTTTTTTTGTTATTGATTTGGGTTTGATTCGGAAGCCAAATACATCAAAACGCGATTACAGAAAGTACAAAATTCAATTGAAACGCATTTTTCATGCTTTGGGAATAAAATCTAGAATCAAGGGTCAAAATATCCCTATGTAAATGTGTACATACACACTAATTGGATGTCATTTTCAACAAATGTGTACATATAAAAATAAAAAAGAGGAAAATAAAATACAATATAAAAAGCTGGTGGCTCTCATTAGTAAATATTGACCGCTGGTGGTGGTGGGCAGTCCACTGAATCCAAACTCCTGATTACTCCGTCTGTCTCCATCTTCACCTCTCTCTCTCTCTCTCTCTCTTTTTTATTTTTTTCTGAAGTTATTTTATATAAATATTTATGAAAAATTAAAATATGATATACTTTAAAAATTAAATTAATTATTAATTATAGTAAAATTACACGTATAACTATTTTTATTTTAAAGAATTAATTTATAAAATCTTTATTTCACTAATTTGATTCTTTCGCCCAAAATATAAGAATTAAAATAGAAATGAAATTATAAATTAAAAATTTTATAATAAATTTAAAAAGCAAATAGAACTCTCATGTATTAATTTGGTTATAGTTTAAAAATTAAAATGAAAGAATTAAAATATTAAAGACATAATAATTTAAGGACTTTGTAGTAAGTTTTTAAAATATTTTCATTTGTTAATTTAACTACAATTGAAATATTTTTTTATTAAAAATTTTTATACTTTTTTAAAACTTATTTTTCTCGTTTAATTTTATTGGCAGATTAATGATTGACATAAAAGATAAAATAAACAATAAAAAAAAACTACAGTTTTCATTTATTGGCATCCAAACAAGTGCATTTAAGCGTGCATTATTTGTTTCGAGAGTCATAAATCGTTCACTCTCTCCTCCTATCGCTATATATCTGTATTTTCTTCTCCTTTGGAATATTCAAAAAGTATTCTTTTTCTCTTCTGGTCTGGTTCTCTGCCTCCAAATTACATACCCACAATTTTCCTCTTATCTTTTTCTTTCCCGGAAAATTTTCTGGGTCATTAATTGTTTTTTTATCTAAGGATCCGCATATCTCGGGGTAAACTAAGCTGCTCACCCGCATCAAAATTATTTCTTTTTTCTTTCTTCGCTGTTGTCTGGTTTTTCCTTTGGTTTCTTTCGAGCCAAACACTTTAAAGGAAGCAGCTTTGACGTTAAATGAAGGAGAAATACAAAAAGAGAGAGGACTAAATCCGTGATCTGCCTTTGTAGTTTGAGGTGGTTAATATTTGACCACTTTGAGCTAGGAAACGGTTTTTGCTGAGTAAACAGAAGGAAAACTTTTGGTGGTGGGTGTAAACTAAATTAAGGATCTCATGGCAGAATTTGGAGGGAAATGGAGGGGCTTCAGATCGGTTTTAATGGTGTCATTCAATTTTTTGATAGCTTTCATGCTTGTTTCAGCCGATAGAGGCTTGAAACGTGAAATTTCAAGTGTGCCTATAACAGAAGACGCGAGTCTATCAAGTTATTTTGTCAAAGCTGTAAATTTCTTATGGCAGCCTGATCAATCAGGCTATCAACATGTTTGGCCGGTAAAAATTCTTATTTCTAATACTCCTTTTCTCTTATCAAGTCTTTTTCTTTTTCCCAATCGGGATATTCACTGCTTATATGTTTTTAAGAGCTTCAGGACCCATTTGTTTGTTAAATAGTTGTTTTTAGGTAGTAAAGATGTGATTTATTTTGGATTACGTGTAGTGTTATGTTAATGGAATTTGAAAGTTTTTTTTTTTTTACGTTTTTGGACATGGGTTTGGGTTACATGAAAGTTGCCTTTTGGCCTAAATAATCTTCTTTTGGGTATTTTTTTTTTAATTAATAATTAAGGGCTGATGTGAGGTTTTGTGTACAGGAAATGAAATTTGGTTGGCAAATTGTGTTGGGTACTATTATTGGATTCTTTGGAGCAGCGTTTGGGAGCGTAGGTGGTGTTGGCGGA